AAAAACCCCCCCCCCCCCACCGCTTTAATGATGAGATTTTGGCTGGAATGGAAATAGAGGTAGAAAATCCTTTAGAAGCAGAATAGAAATGTTAGATTTCATCCATTTTTTAAAAAAATACAATTCTGGGGCAAAGTTTATTAAAATTTGCAGGCATAAGGTGTATTAAATATTCCACTTTATAAATGGAGAAGAAGATTCTTGGCAAAAAGGTTGAGACACACTGAAACTAAACATGACCACAATCACATGATGGTTTATCACCTGGTGGAGAGAGTCAGGGAGATGACCTTGAGGGATATAGACAAGAACCATTATATAAGCAAAGAGGGCTGAAACATTCCTTAAGTTAGTATTCAGAAGAGATTCAGGGAGGCATCTTCTTGATTCACCAGGAAGAGGGAGGGAAGATAAAACACAAGCAGATTTGCAATACAGGTAGTCCCCGGGTTAAGAACGCTGACCCGTAGTTAAGAACGGAGCCTATTGTAGCAAAATTCAAGTTAAATACACAATGATTCGGGTTAAATACACAACGGTTTGAGTTCATTTTACAATATTACTTATACAGTATTACACAATGCATACTGTTCCAGCTTACATACAAATTCAACTTAAGGACGGACCTTGGGAACGGAACTCGTTCTTGAACTTTGGACTACTTGTACTGTATTCTGTTATTATAGACTATCTCAATAAAGTATGGTTTGAGTCTTCCTGCAGAGTTGATTTTCTGGTTTGGTCTACCTAGGGGGGTTGACATCTTTTAAGACATCTTGATGTCAGAAACAGTTAATGTTTTTCTGCAGGTGTTAATCTGAGCACATATTACATATGTAGCACTTTCTATTTCTGATTTAAAATGTGTTATAGAAAGAACAGCTGTAATGTCACGCTACAATTACCATGGTTACAGTTTTACTTCTAAAGCATGCCAAATGTGCTGCCACCTTCTGGGGAAAAGGAGAAACTGTATTGATATATTGTACGATATTAAAATAAAACTGTAGAATCATAGTCATTGACAACGATCGTTACTGATAACATGCAGTAATGAAATCTCTTCCCTAGCTCAATAAAACAAAAACAGTGGTAGTGATTATTTATGATATAATACACAACAATAATTATGATATGCAACTGAGGCGCCTAGACAGTGTTGGCTGACCTTAGAAGCTAAACAGAGTCAGGACTTGGATAAGGGTCATTGAGAAATTCCAGGACTGTTTACTAGACTAAGAAATCGATCAAATAAATATCCAGTGCTTGACATCAACCTGAGTTTATTGAAAAGCTCTCTAAGCAGTCAACTAAGTTGAAAAGAGGGAGCATCATTTTAAAGACCAACAATTATAAGGCTTAATTTAATGGAAGTTGCTAGTTGATCTTCAAATTCAAATACTCAGGTCTTACCATTTTCCCTGTTGAACTCAATGATGTATAATTCTGAATGAATTGGCTCTATCAGTTAAACCCTTTTACAAAATCCAAAGCTGCCTACCAGGGAAGCCAGGGAGATACTGGTATTTCTATAGACTGGACCAAATATAAAATCTGAGTGTATCATACACTAATTGCCATTGATTTATTTATTTAAATAATTTCTATGGCCACCCATCTCACAAAAGTGACTCTGGGTGGCATACAAAGATTAAAAACCCAACAACTAAAAATTCATAGTCCATCAGCAGATTGCAAACAGGTCCATATTGTAAAAGAGTGTATGATGCAATGAAGGCATTTCCTTAATCAGGAAAAAGTTGAGAATGGAATGTGGAAATTAGACTGCAAAATTCAGATAAATCATTATTCCTTTTGAATTGCTTCAGTGTGAGGTGATACCTAGTAATCTTTTTGCATGAAAACTTTTTATTTTTGAATATTTCTTTTTCAAATCCTCACACCAATCATCTTTTGTAAATGATTTATCAGCATTACCTCCCGCACACCCCTACACATACATACAAATATTATTGTATGTATTATTTGTGGTTTTGGAATAGGCTTTTTCCCCCCTAGATAGGCTTGGCCTTTTAATACAGCAATAAGAACATGAAAGGAAATGTATTGACCATGTAGAACTCCAGGCCAGTAAATTGCTTCTTGCCTGTTATAAAGCAGGCAGCCCTGTTAGGAAAAATATAATCTCCAGTTAATTAAGGTTAGCAGAATGTTATTGAGGAATATTCCATATATAAAATATTATAAAACATGTGAAATAAATGGTGCTCTTTAGCACAGATTACTGTCTGTTAAGAGGAAGCTATGTGCACTTTACACTTGCATTGACTCACAGCATTGGCAGACCACATAGTCATGGCAGAATAAGCACATGTTCCAGTTCCTTGAGCATAGTTTACATTGGCTTTGTGCACCTACGGCAATTTCAGCTTTAATGCAGATATAATGTACTACTTCAGATAGGTTAATGTTTAACTTAATGTTCCCATGTATGTTTCTATTGAACTTCCTTTTTGCTAGAAAGACATTTGGGCATTTTTATGTAAATAGAAAAACTTTGAATAGTCATAATAACTACTTTATCTAGCTATCCTATACTCATATTATCCCAAGAATTAAAATGCATTGCCAATGCTCCAGGTGAATGGCCATAATCTGCAATGCATGATCAGGTCAGAAGAATAATGGGGAAAAACATTGTCCCCCCAATGCAATTAAATGGTACAAAATATCAGGGGTAAAATAGAAGCCCAGATTGCAAACTTCCTGGAACAGTGAAGCCTCTCATAGATAGGCACCTGCTGCAAAATAAGCTGCAGCCACTTCATCTTCATTCTGAGAAAATTTGGGAGAAATAGTGGCTTCCCAGGATAGGGCAAACAAACAGGGGAATCAGGCTAGGAAAAAGATTGTTGCATTACAAAGTGGTGCATGGAAAACAGCTACAAAGTACATGTTTATCTTAAAATATGGAGAACCACCATGGGCAGGAGAAGGAGGCAGTGCTCCTGATTTGTCCCCCCTTCACTGGCAACCTCAACATCTCTTCATAGATAACATGATTCTAGAGGCTGCAGCTGAACCTGGGTGTGCCAACTGGCACTTGGGCAGGAGAGAAAGAAAAGAGGATGTGGTGCCCCTAGAGTACTCAGCCATTGCTCATCTCTCAGACCTCCCTAAAGGGAAGAAGGAGAGACTGTATACGTACAGCAGATTTCCACTCTGAATAGTATGGAAGTG